TTGTTCGCTCACGTTCTCCCCTGATGGCTATGCCCACTCCTGCCCGATGCTCGCGGAGCTCCACGCCCATTAATCATGCATCTTTTGAAAAAATTCTGAAGTAGACTTTAACCGAAAGTGGGGGGTGTCATGGCCCTTTAATGTAGCAAAGGAGAATAAAAATTTGCTTTATTAAAGCTAATCAGCTCAGTAGTCTCTGCAGCATAAACACAAGCATGTAGTCTGCCGCTTTTGTTGCTGTTATATGTTGTGTACTGGCTAGGGTCAAGATATCAGCTAATAACATCACCATTTCACAAAACATATGAACATCTTAATAATAATTTTGCTGTTTACTCATGTGTTTTTTTGTTTGTTTATCAAACTCGAATACATTTCCTTGTGTGCACAGGCTCATTATTCATTTGCTTATGTACACCAGGTTTTGACTTTCAGAATGGACAACATTTACATCTCTAATGGGAAACTGAAGGATGAACAGCCAGTTATTGTTGTAGGGAGTCAATGGATCGTTCCAGATCCGAACAAGTCACAGACCATATTATTCTTAAAAGATTGGTTGGTGCCTACATGTCTGAGCTTTGATTTCATTTTCAAAGCAATCCACGAGCACCCAACAAAAGGCAATCCACAGGATGACTTGCCAGTCGCGATCGCAACTGCATGCTAATATACTCTACACTCAAAACACCCCCAAACCAGTTTTTGAGAGTGCCTTTTGGTTCGCGCCTCCTTTGGCGTCTGCAAGGAATACACATTCTCAGGCAGACACAGAAGCAATCAGAAAAGCTTCCAAATTTTAAAAGAACCTACAGTAAAACTGTGTTTATTCGAGTAATGTATGTTTGCTTTATGTTTCTGTAGGTTTTTGTGTGTACATGTCCCATGTGTTTAACAAAACTGTTATGGATGGTTATTGAGTTATAGCCCTCAGTGACAAATGAAATCTACAGAATGTTGGTGAAACACATCATGTACTGATTGAAAGGTAGGAAAGTTTCAAATGCATTGGTTTATATGAAGAAACCATACTACGAAAAGTGTCCATGTTATAAGACTTTACTTTAACAACTATGCCTTTAAAGCAGCACCGACACAATTTGCCAACCCGGCCTTCTAGAGGGCGGAATTGCGGTGACCCCACCTCTGCAGCTTCTCTGATTGGACAAATCAGTGTGTAGGCCCAGCCTATACCAAAGCCTAAAAAATTTTTAACAAGAAATTTCTTTGTCGTCTTTTGCCGGTCGTCTTTGCCAGTCGTCAACGCCGTTGCTGCCCGGACGTCGCTCTTCTCATGCTGTGGCCGTTACATCGCCTCGTTACATCAAGGAGCAAACTGCGACCTTCACTTGCTGCTGGCTCGACCCCCGGTCTGCTTGCGCAACAGCTTCAACAACAAGCCATCGGGTCAACACATAACTCTGAAACTCCATAATAACCATAGAAACCCCAGGAAGGACTTCGAACGTCGCCTCGTCCAACATCTGTATCCCTAGCAAATGACTAAGGAAACCCTTCTTCACCGACGAGGGAATTCCAGCACGTCACTGAAGTTGCTACGCTGACCAATCAGCTTCGTCGGGAAACCAAAATTCCATCAGAATGCAAATAACACAAACAAGGTTTCTATCCATTGCTGAAACTGGTGTGAATTATGTTTAAGTAGTAAAGTATAGCGACATTCTCTGTTTTGTTTTTTCTCAGGTTGCAATGCTAAGAACTAGGGATGGGAAGATTAACCGATATGTATCGATACGCGGTCATGCGCGTGCACGATGCGAGTGAATCGGTTGAGCAGCAGAGGATGAATGAAATTTTGGAAGCAAATCGAGATACATCGGTTTTTGCGAGATGCATCGATTTTTCCGAGATACAGCTTATATTTTTAATATAGAATGTATTTTTTATTTATTAACAAGTGTTGTCAACCTGTTTTTGGTGCATAATTTAATCGACCTACATAAAGTAAGCCTTAGCAACGGATTTGCGGATGTGTACACTCACACTACAACTCAGTGTATCAGGTGTGCAGATGAAGCTAGTGGAGCGCCCTCAGAAAGTGCGAGAAGCAAAACAAACATTGTATTCCCCACTGAGTTTTAAATCTAAAGTATGGCAACATTATGGATTTAAGGATGGACGACATGACAGGACAGATGCAATTTGCAAAATGTGCCGCGCATCTGTAAAATACGCGGGCAGTACGAGTAATCTGAAATCTCACTTGAAGCAGCGCCACGGTGTTGTTGTGAAGGCATCTTCCAGTGTTTCTGCATCCCCGGCTTTCGCACTGCTTCAACCAGCTCCAAAAGTGGTGAGAAAAGCATTGCAAGTTTTTTTTTCCATGCGCAACAGTTGTGTGCGCTCTACGCCAATAACGAATGCTATTGCATTGTTCATCTGCAAAGATATTCAGCCTAGTGTCACGGAGAACGAAGGTTTTAAACACCTCCTCCTGTTAATTTTTATTTAATTATAATAATAATAATATTAATAATAATAATGATAAAAATAATTGGGTGTCACGGTGGCACAGTGGGTAGTTTGACCACCTCACAGCAAGAAGATTGCTGGTTTGTTATATTTTTATTAGCCTGTTGTTTACAGTGACAGTGATGTTTCAAAGCAGCATAACACTGCTAGTTCACAACCTTAAGTTTTGAATAATCAGTGGCAAAATATATCTTTGTAAAACTTGTTTTCATAGTTGAAAAGTTAAATCACAATTCTTGTTGTGCAATGCTAAACCTTTATGTTGAAAGAGTGCAAATATATACATATTTTTTTAATTGATATTGCACTTATACATTCTGTTTATCTTGAAAATACTTAAATAATATGTGCTATATGTTCTAAAATGGCCCTCTACTGTAAACTGACACTCTGGCTCTGAGAGAAGAGCCAGTTTGTAAAAAAAAGTCTTGGTTTTGCTTGGTTTATAAATAATCAAACTCATTCAATGGCACAGCATCCTCTTTCACATTATCTCATAAACTTGATCTAATTAGTGCTGAAATATCGCATCGTATCGTGATATGGGTGTGAATCGTATCGTGTCGCATCGCAATATGTCACAAATGTATCGCTAATATATCGGATCGTATTCTTTGTATCGAGATGCGTATCGGATCGGCATTATAGCTTAGATGCCCAACCCTACTAAGAACATAGCAAATGCTAGAAGTTGAATCCACTCAGTCATAACTCTCCTCAAACTGCTTGTGCGTGTGTGTATGTGCGTTTGCTTGTTTTATGTAGATTAGTACTTTGTGTTAAAGAGTAGCAATAAACTTTTGTTTCATTTTAGGATCCGTGTTGGTGTGTTGTGTGCTTTATAAGTTAATGCCTCAGCTTCAGATACTGCTACCTTGCTCATTAAATAATTAGATACTGTTTTTATATTGTTATTGTTGGCCACGTAATAATATAATACAGGATTGCTTAACACTAAACGTTCTATTTGCTGGACAAATACGGAGGTTAAGTGTTAGCTTTGAATAATTCTATGTGAATCATGTTTGCATCTTTAGATTCGAATCCCCAAAGTTTAAATGTGATTTAAACCAAAGAGCTGATTCTTACATTGTTCTCATTAAAGTGAATTCATCTTTGCTTTGACGTCAATGCAGAAAATACAAAAAAAGTTCAAATCCAAAACTAACTTTAAAAATGTTAGTAAAAAAAAAATTTATAAACAAATGTAGAAATGTTTAATTGTGCATGTTCATTAACTAATTTTAATGCATCTGCATCAAGTGAGCAAAAATGCTTGTCCTCATTATTAAATATATTTAACAATATTCAATTCTGAAATCAGCAATAACATAATATTATTTATAATAACATAATATTAACAGGCTGAGGTTGAACAAGTTAAAGATATAAATAAACAGTTTACTGGTTATGATTTTAATGACCTTAAGGTTCTTTTATTGCGAGAAAAGGGGAAAAAGTTTGTATTTACATAAAACCAAAGCATAGGAGCAGAAACAAAATAGCTTCAGGGCTGAGCAAGGACAAAATAATTAACAAAAAACTAACTAACTCCAGTCTGAAGTCTTACCTAATAGAACCAGGTGGTACATTTAATAGCACAAAAGAATTGTAAATATTTTAATGACCAATTTTTTTTTTTTTTAAATAACCATTATTTAATGTTACATAGGTACATAATGCTTAGCAATCCACAGTTAAACAGTTGTTTATATATAGAAGTAATAAAAGAAACTATAGGTGAAAAAATATTACCCATAACCAAGGATCTGCAAAAACACAAGAATTAAGAGAACTCATATTAAATTAAATATATAAGGATTAAAGTAATATTTTAAGCCATATCAAACCTAATTTCCCAATAAAATCACACACACACACACATATAAATATAATATAAATGACAAATGACTCATCACAAAACTTAGCAGAATAAGGCCTTAAAGTCTGAAATTATTATTTACCAGAGTTTATAAAGCTTAAATGTCTTAACAAATGATAAAACACCACAAACCCCAAACGCTTTGAATGAACTGTTCACCTCGCAAAATTATTCAGTGTTTTGAAGTGATTGAATGATGTCAAATAATATGTGCTATTTAATATCTTCATTTCTGTAATATCTGTTTTATTTAACTGAATACTAGTAACGGAAAGCTTACTCGGGTCAATTTTTTAACTACAACTGTACCTTCCAAAAGTGTCATTGAAATGTTCACAAATGTGTAAAACTGATCAGAGGTCAGATGGTAATTATATAGACATGGGATCATCGAAGGTTCACTCTAATGACACATCATTGCTAATTTAAATCATATTGCATTAGATATAACATAAAGCTTGATTTGATGAAATCATGACTCTGTCTGCTAGATATGAACTTCAAACCATTACAGTTTCTCAAAGATGTGAAATCCCTACAAAGATGTGCTTCAAAACCACCAATCACTACTGTACTCTAATGCTAGTTTCACAACTAGTGTGAATGTAAGAGTACATGAAATTAGATTAAATGCAAAGTCTATTACGCTATACAAAGTCTATTCTTCTGCACATTGTGAGTGACAGTGACGCAATCCTTCACACTTGCTGTGAACCCAGCATAAGGCATCAATGATTATTGAAGTTGATTATTTTATGTAAAATAATTATTTCACAATCCAATGATGAATGAAAAATGAACACACTCATCATCTTACTTCTTCACTCTCAGTAGTTTCTGCAGATGAAGTTGAGTTTGTGAGTTTCAGGACGGCTGATCCAGGACTGATCTCCTCCAGACTGAACTGCTCCAGATCTCACTGTGGGCTCACAGTCCTCCTCTGATGTGCCGTTCCCTGGAGCCCAGTTCTGATAGCACACGGTCTGTCCACTCACCCAGAACCAGATGCCCAAAGCACAGGAGTGACGTAAACCCAACCACACCGCCTCAGTAGATGCCAGTTTAACCACGTTCATCACCTTATACTGCATCTCCACTGACTGAACCGAGACCAGATCCACATGATGCTGTCTGCAGTATCTCAGAGCTTCAGACCACGACAGATTCTGCTGGATCACAATCAGTTTATCTGGACACAAAACAAAGCAGAAACTAGAGAGAGACTGATCAACAACAACATGCAGAACAAACACTGTGGAGGAATTTGTCATGTCAGACATGTAGAGTCAAATTTAAGAGATCTGGAGCTGATGATGGATTGAGTGTGTTTGCAGGATCTGCTCACCTTCATGACACACAAAAGGAAGCTGCCATTTACCACTACACAAGTAGTCACCCCATTGTCCACAAGAGTACTGTTCAACTGCTGCACAGCGTTGATCATCTGGAGCTTGAGGTGCACCAGTTTTCCAGTATCTGAATGAGGAGTTGCTCTGATCTGACCACTGCCAAATGTCTCTGAACAGACCGATCCAGATTTCAGATCCAAATGTCTGACTGTCATTAATGAACTTCTCCAGTTGTTGACTCTCATTCTGGTTCCTCACACTGACCAGATCAGTGTGATTCTGTCTGCAGTAACTCTGAGCGTCTCTCCACTTCATCCTCTGATTGACAAACACCAGTCCTCTGCTCACTTTAAGGAAATACATTTATTTTATCAGTTTATTCTTTTTCTGCTTTTGATGTGAACAGAAGCAGTGGTGAAATGTTAAGAACAACTTTTTTTTTATCAATATTACTATGGTTACTATTTTAAATGTTTAAACTTTATGCTGTAAGACTATAATTCAGCATCTCTTTTTTCAGTTTAGTTAATAGTGGGTTTGTCAGAAATATCTGCCCCAAATGTATAGCAGATTTGACTTGAAAAAATATTAGATTTATGTTTTGCAAAGTATATTTTATAATGTTAGCTAATATCACATTTAAAGTATCTTTTGTTAAATTAAAGTTTGTTGTCAAGGATTTTACTCACTGTTGTAGCAGATGAAAGTCCAAGTGGCATTACATGCCCCAACAAACCACTTTCCATTTTTTATAACAGTACAATTATTACCACTGTATGGTTGTCCAGATGCCCAGTTCAGAAAGAGCACAGGATCACCGGAAGACCAATGCCAATTATAAGCCCTTGTACCCTGCAGACCAATCCAGACACCTTTATCATTCACTTTCACACTCTTGTTCAGCTGGATCATGTCGTTCATGTTGTCAACAGTGGCCAGATCTGTGTATTTCTCTCTGCAGTATCTCTGAGCATCAGTCCAGGTCTTATTCTCATTTATAAAGTGATACTGACGCTGAACACATTCAGATATGGAGCAGACAGCTGTGAAAGAGACACTTTGCTTTAATGATGTTAAGAACAGAGTCAAACCTAATGAAACTATAAACCATAAATAAAACCACAAACACACTCACCAATGAGGAGAAGAGGGAAATATAGAGTCTGAGCCATTTCTGAGGAGGAAACACACTGATAAACATGTTAACAATCAGATCCATTTGGAGTAAAACATAACAACAGTTAAAAGAGAAAGATAAATGCAGACTACACAATAATGAAGAATATCTAAAGCGTAATATGTAGATGTGTGTGTTCTTACCTCAGAGGTGGTGTGTTTCTGTCCTCAGTCTGATGTTTCTGTCTGCAGTGTGATTATTCGGTGCTCTCATCCGTCATTCAGCACGTCACATCATTTGTTTATTTCTCTAAACATTCGGGTGTATTTGCATAGTTTTCCTCTGTGTTGATCATTGTTTCTGTAATTCTTTTGAAGTGAGATTATTTGAATGTGGTCGAGAGTCGAGTTTCTATTTCTTACAATGAAGTCTTTCTATAGTGGCTTCGCATGATAAATCCACCTCAACTATGTGATTCTTTCACATTAGCTCTCATCCTTCATTCAGCACATCAAATCATTTGTTTATGACACTAAAAGCCCATGTTTCATATTTTAGACCTCTATATTTGTTTATTTGTCTATTTATTTTCTCTTATTTGTATACTGGCATCTGTCGGTTAGTTTGAGTTAACCTTGTTACAGCTGTTGCCTGCTGGTTTGTGTCATGACGTCACTCACTGTTTGTTTCCTGGAGTCTGGTAGGCCTGCCTCTGCGCACCTGCGGCAAGTTGTGCTATTGCAGAGTGGCTATCGTCACCTTGGATTTAAAAGGTTCTATCTGCATTCTGAATGATTTTGAGATATTGAGCTTCAAAGTTTCTGCATTCCATATAGCAAACAATATTTGTGCAACATTTGTTTTTTAAATAAAAACTCTTAAAATCTAAACAACTTATAAAAAACATCCCATAATGTAAATAAGTTGTCATTTAATAACAATTTGTCAATAACTCAATTTTGACAAAAATGTCAGATAGAACCTTATAATTCTAAGGTGACGAAATATAGACCGACGTTGAGCAGAGAGAGACTTTACTGCCAGCCATCAAGCTTGATCTATTTTATTTTAATTTGCTGGCTTTTTTCTTTGTTTAAGTCGTACGTTATGATGCTTTGTTCAGTGTTTGAACTATACTGTGGCCTTTGGGGGAGCCCTTTTTTTGTAACGGGGGTTTCGGGGTTGTGTTTCGCTTTTATTTCCTTGCCACATATAGGCTTTAAAACATGCAGGATCCCTGTCCTAAAACAGCAACATATAAACAAAACTATAAAAAATATAAAACAAATATTTTCATAATTGTGACTAATAGCTAACAGCCAGCAGCTAGCTCTCGGCAACTCTTACATGGTGGCATACTGAAGCTAAGCAGGGCTGTGCCCAGTCACTAACTTGATGGTAGACCACATGGGAAAGCTAGGTTGCTACCAGAAGTGGTGTTAGTAAAGCCAACTGGTGGTGCTCAACCTGCGGTCTGTGTGGGTCCTAATGCCCCAGTATAGTGAAGGGGACTCTATACTGCTCAGTGAGCGCCATCTTCGGATGAGATGTTAAACTGAGGTCCAAACTCTGTGGTCATTAAAAATCCCAGGATGTCCTTCAAAAAAAAAAAAAAAAAAAGAGTAGGGGTTTAACCCCAGCGTCCTTGCCAAATTTGCCCACTGACATCTGTCCATCATGGCCTCCTAACCCTCCCCATATCATAATTGGCTTTATCGTCTGCTCTTCACCAATCAGCTGGTGTGAGGTGTGCGGTCTGGCGCAATATGGCTGTCATCGCTTCATCCAGGTGAATGCTGCACACTGGTGGTGGATAAAGAGATTCCCCTTATTGTGAAAAGCGCTTTGTGTGTCTAGATAAGCTATTTAAATGTAAGGAATTATTAATATTACAAAGTAGGCTAAATGAACAAAACATCATGATAGTTTCAGTTTACTTTATTGCTAAAAAAGCGCTTGTTTTGCATTTAATAACTTTCTTTGACCCCTAAAAAAATCTTTTGAGGGTTTTATTTTGACCTGCACATACTACAGCAGCCTAAACAACAGAACATCATTGTCTAACTTTACCAGCAGTGTTTCTGTATGAGTAACACTTTCCTTTATATAAACTCAACAAACATGAATGTTTCACTTAACTACAAAAATAAATAACCTTGTCATGTAGTCTATCATTTTTTTTTTTATCACTCTATATGCTTAAGATGATGGCACTAAGCACAACATATGCTTTTTATTTTACATAGTAACTCACTTTTCACTCCAGTAATGGTCCATTTCCACTAAGTGGTACGGTACGGTTTGGTTTGTTACGCTTTTATGGCAGTTTCCACTGTCAAAAGGCGTACCGAATCGATCCAAACCACTTTTTCGGCACCCTTTTTAAAAGTATACCAAACACGAGAAACGGTACCAAAAGGCGGAGCTAGACGAGCAGCTGAATGTTATTGGTTTACAGATATACATCATTCGCTTACGCAACAAGCCAGAATGAAAACAAAATAACCGCCATGTTTGAAATACACAGTGAGATATTACAGCAAATTATATATACATATAATATCGAGACAAGGTCGATCCAGGATCAAACAAACCTTGTCATCGTGTTGATGAACAATCACAAAGCCATGAAGTAAAGCAGAATCTACCCTGTGCCTCGTAGTTTTTTAACGAGACAGTCTGAAGCGCGAGCGGTTTCACTTTCTTGCTGGCGCTCGCCGCGCGTCTATATCTGAAATAACAAACTTTCTGAGCTGATGATAATAACGTGCGCTTGATTACTGACTTGCTTTTAAAACCCGATCCCGTTAGACACTGACAAACGCGAGAGTGAAGCGCGAAAAAAAGGAGAAGCCGGGAAAAAAGCAGCACCCTATTTCTTCAGCAAACATGAACAAACTGCCTTGTTTTAATTTTTATTATCACCTTTTGGACTAACATGAACTGGGAATAATGGAATGACTCTCTAATAGAGACTACACGTGCTGCTGAAGATTACAGACACAGATGAGAGGTTTCCACTGACTGTAGGCTATATTTTGTGTTGTGTTGAACCTAATTAAGGATGAAATCTATGCTGCGTGTACTTTTTCTGTAGTTGGTAACATATCGGTATGAGTTCATATCGAGATAACCTGAACAGCTAGTTTCCTAGGTGATCTTCTCCTCAAATTAGAAAGTTTATTGCTTTTGCTCCTGCCAATTTTTGTGCTTGTGTCTCGTGTGGAGTCCCATAACAGTTCTCAGGTTCTGATATTATGGAGAGACTAAGACATCCTTACAATATAAATACACATTACATTACAGAAATACACTGCAAAAAATGCTTTTCTTGCTTAGATTTTTTGTCTTTTTTCTAGTCCAAATATCTTAAAAATCCTAAAACAAGAAGAATTTACTAGACAAGCAAAACATACTGTCTTGTTTTGACAAAATAATATGCCAATATTAAGTGAGCTTTTCCTTAAAACAAGCAAAATAATCTGCCAATTGGGTAAGTAAAATAATCTTACATCAAAAGAAAAAACAAGATTAATTTGCTTACCCCATTGGCAGACTATTTTGCTTGTTTTAAGGAAAAGCTCACTAATATTGGCATATTATTTCTCAAAACAAGACAATATGTTTTGCTTGTCTAGAAAATGCTTCTTGATATAAGAAATTTTAGATATTTAGACTAGAAACAGGATAAAAAATCTAAGCAAGAAAAGCATTTTTTGCAGTGTACAAAAGGCCACGACTGAATATGGAGGAAGGTCTCAGGGTTACATTTTCCAGAATTAAATAAAGAATAGACCTGGGCCTTTTGGTGTGTGTGTGTGCAGGGTTTATATATTTATAAAAACTAGGATTTTTATTTTAGGTGTCGCGGGCTGAAAAGTTTGGGAAACGGTAGCAGACTGACTAGGGTCAAGATATCAGCTAATTACATCGGCATATCATAAAATATATGGATTGGCGGTCTTCACAAAACAAAACAAACAAAATATTAAATAATCAAAAACTTTTTGTTTTCAGATTTATCTAGACTTTGACCTGATTTTCAAAAAAAAAGTAAATAAATAAAAATAGTTCTGCTTTTTACTTCTGTTTTTGTTTGTATGGTTAAAAACTCGAACACATTTCCATGTGTGCACACCCTCATTATTCATTTGCTTATTTACACAGCTGGTTTTGACTTTCAGAATGGACATTTACATCTCTGATGGGAAACTGAAGGATGAACAATCAGTTATTGTTCTTACTACATTTTGTTCATCACTGCTTTAACATTCATGCAAAAATACACAAAAACGTAAACTGCAAAACTAGTTTTTGAAACGTCTGTATGAAATATTTTTAAAATGTCGTTGACTTTTTGTTCTTGATAAAATTGTAAAAAAAAAAAAAAAATCAATATTTATTTTAGAAATGTTTAATTTTGCACGTTCATCAACTCCCATTAATGCATCTGCATGAAGTGAGCAACAATTTTTATCATTATTAAATATATTTAATGTGGCCACGCTTTATTTTAAAGGTTCGTTTGTTGAATTTAATTACACTGCATCTACATGCCAACTAATTCTCATTAGATTATAAGTAGACTGATAGGTTGGGGTTAGTGTAAGTTGACGTGTACTTGCAAAGTTTCCTATAGTCAGTTAAATGTCTGTTGAAGGAGCAGTATCAGCAGATATTAAGCAGACAGTCTACTAATACTCAAATGGACCATCAAAATAAAGTGTTACCAAAATCATATTCAATTCACATGAGAAAACATAATAATCAACTGATTACTTGTTTTACATGTTTATTTCACTGGTGTCTGTGATACATTCATTACACAAGAGGACAGTAAATATTTTACAATTACTAACTTTAGTTTTTTTTTTCTCTAAACTATAACCATTATATAATTTCACTGATGTATATAATGCTTCGTGATCCACATTCAATCTGTTTCTTTAATATAAAGACATGATATAAATAATAAAAGAAATTCTATAGGTGAAAAGGAATTACCCACAGTATCATACAAGTATCCATATAAACACAAGAAAACTCATACTTCATTTAAATTTACTATATAATGATTAAAATAAAATATAAAAGACATAATAATGCCAAATTTTCAAAATAATAATAATAATTGATATATTTAAACCTATTTATATAAATCATTTACTCAAGTAACAGGAAATTTTATCCAAAGGCATTATAGATGATCCATCACGAAACTTAAGATAGCAGAATATGACCTTGTATTCTGAAATAAATATATACCACAGAGTTTATAAAGCTTGTTTTAACAAAGGAAAAAAACACCACAAACCCCAAACGCCTTAAATGAACTGTTTACTTCACAATGTTATTCAGTTTTTTTTTTCCTGAAGTGCTTAAATAAAGTCAAATGTGCTGTGTAAGATTTGTATT